TGTAGATGAGGAAATGGTGTGTGCTGGCTGGCTCGGAGGTGGCACAGAAAATCCATGGAGGTGGTAGTGGGAAAGGTTGGTATGAAACACACCAGCGATGGGAGAGTTTTGTGGAGCTTTATGAATTTAGTACCAGAGTTGTATAGAGGGAATGTTCTGATACAGGATTCTTATTGTATTGACCTGACTAGAATTGAAACCGCATTCTCTCCTCACAGAGCTATAGATGGGGTTATCCTCTCCTCGATCAATGATGAATTTAGGTCTGCAGGCAAATTTGTATTGAGTAGAAATAGCTAAGCACACAAGAGCACAGACATGCTCAAACATATACAGACACAGAAACCACAAATATACGCTACTGCACTTACACATGCACAAACACAATTAAACACACACACTGACACTACCACAAATACACACACAAAAACATACACACATAATGCACACAATCATATACATACACATTGAAACACACATGTGCAGGTGCTACCAGAATCACACAAAAGCACACACAATTGAACACACAAACATCTAAATACAAATCAGCAAACATTCATAACTGTATACATACACAAATGAACACAGAGACACTACCACAATCACACAGAATCACATATACAATCACACACACGAACAACACCACACACAGCACAACCATATATATATAGAAAATAGAAAATAGGCACTACTGTAGTCATACACACAATGGCAAACATACACAACAATACACCCAATCAAATATATACACACACACAAAATAAAACTCTCACACACACTCACTCACGCACTCACACACACACACACACACAGATACAGTAACAAACACAATCATGCAATCAAACACACACATGAAGAGACACACAGATACACTTTCTTGCCTTTATATTGCACAATTTAAGATGAAATTATCCCCTAAAATTTTCTGTCCAAGTTCACAAACAACCTAAATCTGAGATTTCCAAAAGCCACCTAAGGGATTTAGATGCCCAGTTCCCATAAACTGTAATGAGGACTGGGCATCCAAATCCTTTAGGTGGCTTTGAAAACCTTAGCCTCATTCCTTATATTTATTCCCTTTAGAGTCATCCCTCTCAGCTCTGAAGAAATGGCAAATGAAACTGCCCCGACTGAATTCATCATCATGGGGTTCTCCAACCTCCAGCAGCTGCAGTTCTTGCTCTTTAGCGTCTTCTTGGTCACCTACCTCTGCACTCTGGTGGGGAACATCTCCATCATCGTGATTGTCTGCACAGATCCCCGGCTCCGCACCCCCATGTACTTCTTCCTGGGAAACCTCTCTTTCTTGGACATCTGCTACACCACCACCAATGTCCCCCAGATGTTGGTGCACCTGTTGGCAGAAAGGAAGAGGATCAGCTATGCAGGTTGCATCATGCAGCTCTATTTTTTCCTCTCCTTTGTGGGCACAGAGTGCATCCTCCTGGCTGTGATGGCTTATGACCACTATGTGGCGATATGCAACCCCTTGCACTACTTGGTCATCATGAGGAAAGCTGTCTGCCTCGAGCTAGCTGGTGCCTGCTGGGCCAGCGGCTTCCTCAACTCTGTGGTGCACACATTTTTCACCTTCCGGCTGCCTTTCTGCGGGGCCAACCAGCTCAATTACTTCTTCTGTGACATCCCACCCCTCCTCAAACTCTCCTGTGGGGACACCTCCCTCAATGAGATCATCCTGCTCGCCATCGGGGTCTTCATCGGGTGGACCCCGTTCCTGTGCATAGTCCTGTCTTATGTCTATATCATCTCCACCATCCTGAAGATACGCTCCACAGAGGGGAGACTCAAAGCTTTCTCCACCTGCGCATCTCACCTGACCATCGTCCTGATGTACTACGGAAGCTCCATCTTCACCTACGTCCGGCCCATCTCCAGCTACTCACTGGACAACGACAGACTGATCTCGGTGCTTTACAGCATAGTAACCCCCATGATGAATCCACTGATCTACACCCTGAGGAACAAGGATGTGAAGGGGGCTCTGAGAAAAGTTTTCATGGGGAAATTGTGTTTGCAATGAAAGGGGCAAATTTCCCCTCCCGGAGGATTCTCAATATTATCTGGGGGCTAAAGTTCTCTGCTTTGTGTTTTCCCATCTATGTTCAGTAGAATTGGTGAAAACATGGGAAAAAAATTACAACAATATACAATAAAAATCTAGATATTGTTTTCAGTTTGAACAATGAAATGGTCCCGTTTTTGTCTATTTTTTTTTTTTGATTAAACGTTGTACTGAATTGCTAATGATGGGGGTTTTTTTGTTTTCTTTTTTACAATATTTAAGTGAAATTATATTCAAAATAATTCTCAAAATGGTTATCACAATTTTTCATTTACTGAAACTGCTCAGGTAAAAAAACCAACTATTTCAATAAAAAAATTATATACATAAAACTAATTGCAAAAAAAAAAAACCCTAAAAAATTTAAATGTCCACAACTTTTTACACACTCACACCACACATTTATGAAAGACCATTTTGGGGGGATTTTTTTTCTGTTTCAAAATGTTTGGTCTCCTCCAATAGTAATAAAACATAAAATAATATAAAACAAAACAAAATCAATAGAAATCAACTCATCAACTCATCTCACAGAACAGAGAACAAAAAAGACACAGTGAATTCCAAAAAAAAAAAAGTGCTTTATTTACAAAGCCCTGTAAATTAATCAGTAAATGAAATGGCAGAGAATAGTAACAAATGGTAAAGAGAGGTTTATACTGGTTGTAAGATGGTACCAAAGATAAGGAGTCACAATGTATAATGGATGCTGGTGGCTGTAGGCCTTGCTGGAGCCCTATGCATGAGAACCAGTATGAATCAAAGGCTAGGAACAAGAGTAGGCCTGGCTCTGGCAAAATAGCAATACACCAGGTGCCAGATAACCAAGTAAAAACATTCCTGACCAGAGAGGATGGTTCAAAAGCATACAGATCTCTCAAATAACTATGTAAACACATTCTTAAGAGATGGTACAAGAACACATCAACCCCTTGTAAGAAAAGGAGGGAATGACAGGATAATGGGTGAGGATGTTTTGTTCAAACTAGCAGGTACAAGGACAAGGGTGGTAACTAACGTCTGGAGTGTAAAACATAACTTGTTTGTATCAATGTATAAAAGGAGATATCCCAGGAGGGGCATCTTTGTGTTGGCCTAGGGGACAGGACCATGGTGTCCTGACTGAGCCGGTAACATTGTCACGGGCATATATGTGTTAGTGAACTTGTAACCATTGAGTCAGGGCGCTGGTGACGGGCTTCATCAACAATAAACCTGGCCGAGGGCCTTCACCATCCAACTGAGCCTGTGGTCTTTCTTTATGAGTAACATTGAGGTCTCCTGAATAGGCAACCTGTGTCCTCTGCTCGTGCAGCTGACGCCAGAGCTCCAAGAACAGCAGCACTGAGCAGCCGGAACAACTTAGCAGCTTTAACAACTCTCCGCAGCACTAACAAGAGAAAGGGGTGGCTAGCCTGCACAATGGGCACTGGGGCAGCAGAGGGTGAGGGGCAGGGAAGGAGCAACTATTCTGTATAATGGGCACTAGGGCAGCAGAGGGTGAGGGGTGGGGAAGGGGCGGCTATTCTGTATAATGGGCACTGGGGCAACAGAGGGTGAGGGGTGGGGAAGGGGCGGCTATTCTGTATAATGGGCACTGGGGCAACAGAGGGTGAGGCGTGGGGAAGGGGCGCCTATTTTGTATAATGGGCACTGGGGCAGCAGAGGGTGAGGGGTGGCTATACTGTATAATGCGCACTAGCGGGAACAGGGTGAGGGTGGAGCAGCAAGGGAATTTCAGCCATGTTGTGTGTATTTTTTGTTAGTTTAGCACCACTTTCATCTTCAATAGTGATAGGAAAAGTTGTACTAGTCGCTGTATCACAAGTTACAACAGTGGTTGCAGTATTAGGATGACGATTAGTTCCTGTAGGCCAGGACCCTATCTCAAAGGGACATTCCCTGCCCTGCAGAGTGTCCAATCTAATGGAATGACTACACCCCATTGGAAACCCAGGTCTGTGGGACCCAGGCTTGTGGGTCGGCATTTCCAAGCCCATGCTTGAGGACCCACACTGCATCATAAGCCTGGGTTTGCAATTGCTGGACCCAGGTCTCACAGCCATGCTAACGTGTCCATGCTGCACCATGCAGACCTTCTGACTCGGGACTGAGGCTTGAGCTGCATCCACACTGCAAAATGACAGGGCTTGGACTTGAGTCTCAGTGGGGCTCAGGCTCTGATCCTGTAGCACTTCCAGGAGGTGGGCCTGGGTTGGGCTGAAACCTGAATCTGAGCCCCAGGTTTACAGTGTGGTGTAGACATACCCTAAGACTAGGCTTGGAAGGATTAGAATTTCATCGGTAAATGTCAGTAAACATTGATTTCACTGAACACATACAAACCAAATAAAAAAATATTTCCATTGATAATAATAAAAATTTACAGCTAAGCAAAGGAAGAGAAATGCTGCTTGAGAAATTCTCAGAGTTTAATGTAAAGTTATTTACTTTGTATATTTTGACCTCTAATGTAGACAATGTGTGTTTTAATGGTGATAAAACTTTAGTTCTTTGAAACTCAACATCTACTGTCGTTATCAACACTGATATTATTCATCAAAATTATTAAAAAATAAAAATAGAATTCTGCCCAGCCTACTATTAGACATGTGAAACAACGAGACTATTCTGATCAGCATGAGAAAGAGCTGCCACAGCAAACCCGCTGTCTAACCATTGTTAAGTGCTTTTTCAAGTGTCATGGCAGGGAACATGTAAGGAAGGGATCTGAGGTGGCTTTGCGGGTGGGGAGCTCCTCCCTTGCTTGAAGGGTTTCATGGGAGAAAACATGAAGGCGCATGTTAGAACATGTTAGAAATGGGCCATCAGGACTGGCATGATTTGTGGAATGAAGGCAGGGGTCCATGTCTCTCACTATATGATCGGAGAGAGAGTTGTGATTGCGCCCTTTATATTACACCTGTATAAAGAGCAAAAGACACAGGCATGGTGAGCTCCAAATAAGAATGTCTACTAATTAGGTACACTATGCAAGACCTATCTACATGCACACGATTCTGCTCTGGCTGGGTTCTGGTGGCTTCTGAAACAAAGAACACAGTGAGCGCCACTAGTGTGACCACAAACTATTTAAAGCAATACTACCCAATTCCAATGCACCACTAAAAAATAGCCATGTAGCTGTTCCTGCTTGGGCTGTGAAACCCATCCCCCTCCTTGGGTGTCAAAGTCTGAGCTCCAGCCCAAGCGGGAATGGTTACATGGCTATATTTAGCACCATAGCACAAGTCCCAGAAGCCTGAGTCTGTAGACCTAGGCTCTGAGATTCAATGCTGTGGTTTTTTGTTGGGTTTTTTTTTTTTCCATGCAGATGTATCCATAGGGTCTTGACCCTGTTCCCATTGAAATCAGAGGCAAAAGTCCTATTGTTTCCATGCAAGTAAAGTAGGACAGGGTAGCATTTATCAAGTGCCTAAGTGAGTTGGGAGTATAAGCCCCATTGTCTTTCAATAAGACTTGTTGCCTAGCTCATTTTGGTGCTTTTGGAAATCTGACCCGTGATAGCATATAGATTCTAATAATTATGGCTGGTTTCAATGGGACTGATGTGCCTAACTCCTTCAGGTTCATTTCCAGATCCTATCCTACAGGGGGTTAAACATGGGTAGACAGTGTAGTATAACACAACAGTAACGATCTAGCTAAGTTACTATTATTGCCAAGGGCAAGTCTTCACAATTCATGAATCAGGCTCCAAAAGAATCATAAGATTGGCTTAAAATTCATGAGATTTTTGAAAGAATAATATATTTTGCTTCGTATTTGCCGTCTGTTTTTGAACAGTTAGGATGCCTTTGCATCACATTTTCAAGCTTTTCTCTTCAACCATAGAACTATTATAGTATTAGCACAACTCACAGTCTTTAATGTATTTATTCTAACAACATCTGTGGGGTAGAGAAGGACAATTATCCCCATGTTTCAGGTGAGGAACTGAGACATCGAAAGCCAGATTTAAAAAGTGATTTACTTTCAATGGGAGTTAGGCACCTAAACTGCAAAGACACCTTTGTAAATTTCATTAGACACTGCTCTGCATCATTAGGCATCTAAATACCTTTGTAAATCTGGCCACAGAGATTAAGAGTAAGAAGAAAAGTAAAGATATCTAAAGATGTAGATAGGCACCTAATCAGATTTTCAAAAGTATCTAGGCACGCCCATTAAAATCAATAGATTTTTCAAAGGTACTTAGTCACCTTCCATTGAATTCTTGGGCTCTTTTGAAAGCCTGATCAGGTTACTATCTACTTCTTGAGGTGCCTAAATATCTTTAAAAATGTCACCATAAGTGACTTGGCTAGAAACTCTGTGCCAGAGCAGAGAACTGATCCAGGGTCTCCCAAGTCACTGTTCTAGCCACTGGATTATCCCATCTCCCAGTGAGGGTGGTGATGGTGATGGAAGTCGGAGAAGCGGGAGGAAGACACAATCCTGGAAACTAACCTACAAGGGCTGTTTGCACTGTTGTTGTACCCGTGTCGGTCCCAGGATATTAGAGAGACAAGGTGGGTGAGGTAATACCTTTTATTGGACTAACTTCTGTTGGTGAGAGAGACAAGCTTACACAGCTTTTGAGCTTACACAGAGCTCTTCTTCAGGGATGGACATTTTATTGTTAGGATGAAAATTTCTCCCAATCAGTTTTCCCAGGGCCTTTTTGATCTCTTGGTTTCTCAGGCTGTAGATGAAAGGGTTAATCAGTGGTGGCAGCACAGTATAGAAAACAGCCACCACCAGGTTTTGCTTAGATGGCGAGTTGGAGGTGGGCACTATATAGACAAAAATGCTCGTACTGAGGAATAAAGTGACGACCATGAGGTGGGGCAGACAAGTGGAGAAGACCTTATGCCGACCCTGAATGGAAGGTATTTTCAGGATGGCAGAGAAGATTTTAACATAAGACACAGCTATTAAAGCAAAACAGCTGAAACACAAACAAAGACCAATGGCGATCATCACAGTTTCACTAATATTGTCCTTGGAGCAACGGAGATTCAGCAGTGGGGGGATATCACAGAAGAACTGGTTGATAACCGAACCACAGAAGGGCAGAGAAAATGTACTTACAGTGTGCAAAGCGGAATACAATCCACAGCCCGCCCATGACCCACAGGCTAACTTAAGACACAGATTCTTATTCACAGTGATTGTATAGTGCAGAGGTTTGCATATAGCAACATAGCGGTCAAATGCCATAATAGTGAGGAAAATGAGTTCGGTAGCTATCAGGGAAACAAATGAAAACAATTGTCCAGCACATTCAGGGAGAGAGATCACTCTAGTGTTGCACAGGGAATTGACCATAGATTTGGGGACAGTGACAGAGATGTAGAGGAGGTCTATGAATGATAAGTTGCTGAGGAAGAAGTACATGGGGGTGTGAAGGTGGTGATCGACAGCTACGACTGTGATGATGATAAAGTTCCCCAACAAAGCTGCCAGGTAAATCACTAGAAACACTGCAAAGTGTAAAATCTGCAGCTCCCGAACATCAGAGAATCCCAGGAGAAGGAACTTGATCATGGTGGTTTGATTTCCCATCTTCTTCTTGTATAAACTGTGCTCAGCCTGCAATGACAAAAACAAGAAGAATGGTAAAGACAAGAAGATGTTAGAATATAACATTGGGAGCAATATAGACATGTCCTGTATTCCATATAGGGTTCAGTTCTACAACACCCTACTGAATATTCTCTGGGAGGGGCTGAAAAATCCAAATTTACATCAGTTTTAAAGAATTCCACAGGGTTTGTATGTATGTGCATGTGTACATGTTTGTGAACAACAAAGGACTTTGTGTCTGTGTGTTTGTACCATTATAGTTTTCCATGATACCCTTAACTCCAACTTTGAACAGGAAACTGTGACATCCAAGCCATCTAATGCATCAAGAGAAAATTTACAATACAGCACAGGTTCATAAAACATGAAAGAGAATGAGGAAATTAAGACCTTTGAATGATATCATATTCAGTTAAATCCTCGCTATCAGTCCATTCCTGTGAAATGCTGAGTATCTAGCTATCTATCCTGGTATCTCCATGTCAGCTGATATTTTAGTTGTACAAATGTTACAGTTTATCTAAGAATCTAAAGGAATTTACCATTCTAGCACAGTCAGCTCTCTCTTCAATTATGAAGGTCTCTTTTCACCTCCTGCTTCACGATGAACTCTAAAAAGAATGATGAGACCCATATGGGAAGATCATGGAAATGCCCTCAGTCCCTTGGCTGAGTTTTCCAGGAACGAATTATGCTGTGAAAACCACACAGCCCTTTTACTTTGAATGCTGTCTGACTTCCTTTTGCCTTCACTGTTTTAGGATGACTGAAATGCTGAAGGAAGATTCACTGGTAAATTATCAGTTTCCAAGCACCTTTGGGGAAATGGCCGGAGGCCCCATAATGAGATAAGCTCTCACAATAAACAACACTGCGGCACTGTCTACGTTTTGCATGAATAATACATTACACTGAGGTTTTCAAAGGAGCCCAAGAGAGTTAGCTGCCCAGTTCCCAGTGAATTCCAATGTTTCAATATTTAATTATCCGCACAGCTATGAAACTGCATCTTATTTCAAGGCTGAATTTATCTAAACTCAGTTTCCGGGTACCAAATCTTGTTATGTCTTTGTCAGAAAGGTTCATAAATCCCTTCCTCGCTATCTGATATTTTGATTTTTTTTATGGGATTTTACTGAAAGTGACTTTTTCATGGAAAAAATAATTTGCAATGAAATTTTGCATTTTAATGACACTTTTTACCCATATTTCTAGTTTCAAAATTAACATTTTTACTATGTAAAAATGTTTGAAAATTGAGGTAAAATGCCTACTTTCCCTATTTTTTTTCTAGATACCTTTCCAAGGAAAAAATAGGTAAAAAGTGAGCATTTTACCTCAATTTCCAAATACACACTCTCTCTCTCTCTCTCTCTCTCTGTGTGTGTGTGTGTGTGTGTGTGTGTGTGTATATATATAGATAGATATAGATATAGATATAGATATATAGATAGATAGATATGGAAAAATGTAAGAGAAAGGAACACTTTCATTTAAAAAAATTACTTTTCAAGTTTACACTGTTAACTCTTTCAAGTGAAAATGTTACTTTCTCTCTGTAACATTTTCTCACATTTTGGTAATTGACAAAAGTTGGAGAGAGTCAGAAAGTGGAGAAAAAATGCTCTTTTTCCACACATTCTTACTGTTGTCTAACTGACAAATGTAGGAAACAGTCAGAAATGGGGAAACGTAGCAAATTGTTGACAGTGAGGATAATCCAGCATTAGAACAGCTTGCCTAGGGATGTGATGTATTCTCCGCCTCTTGAAGTCTTTAAATTGAGCCTTTTTAAAATCAGGGCTTTGGAGCAAAGCCCGGAGCTGGAGCGCGGAGCAGCTCCAGAGCAGTGGAGCTGCAGGTTTTTACCTGGAACTTGCTCTGGAGCCAGAGCACAGCTCCAAAGCCCTGTTTTAAATAGATCCTGTAGCTGAACTAGAAGATATGGGCTTTCTGCAGAAATGATTGGGTGTACTTCTCTGGCCTTTATTATGCAGGAGATCGGACTAGATGATCATACTGGCCTTAAAAAAGTCTTTCTGGCCTTAAAAAACACTGAATCTATTACTCTATTTTCCGATTGCCCTTCAGGAAAACTATTTTCCTCAACAGATAAACATCCAATGGGAATTTCTGTGGCAAAAATTCTCACAGGAAAAATTCCCATTTTTTTTTGGCTATCTCCACCCTACTTCATATCCCTACATCAAATCTCCATCCCAGTTCAGATACACCCTCTTCCTCATTTCCCCTATGATTGGCCATGGTTATATAGGCTCCAATTTTAAATGCTGTCCACTCTGACTCAGAAATTAATGGAAATTGGACATGCAAATTCCCTTGGAAGTTTGAAAAAAAACCCTCTATAACGGTAGTTTCAGGCAGACCCAAATATAGGTGCACACCAGACTTCCCCTCCCATTCCTACTTACACACCCTACCTAAGGCTCTGTGCCAATCCATTTGTCTGTCATGCAGCCAATACTATGTGCATTAGCCATGCAACCAGAGACTGAATCTTAGATTTGATCTTCCTTTTCAGCTAATGCATCATGCATCTGTCCTCCTTGAGTTGTAGCCATGCTCCCATCCAACTTTGGAATGAACCTTTCTCTGGGCTCTCTGAGTGCATCTCCTCAGGTCGCAGGCTTCATGTTGTCATCGCACTTGGGGTGGAACCCCCCAATTCCAAACCCTTGGTTATAGTACCATGTGTATTGACCATGCTTACCCAGCGGGTCCAGCTGCATTCTGGCACCTGCAGATCTTCCTTTTGGGAATCTGTGACCAGTGGTGAATAGAGTGACCCAAGTCTTTTTTAATCTTAACAGTAGGAACAAAACATACCATTAGTGAAAACAGGTTTTAAAACAACAAAAGGTCTACCAGCATGCTTACATTACCTTCCATCCTAGTCAGGCCTATTTTACCCCAGTCCCCTAACATTTGCAGTCTGGGTTCACCTTTGCTCCCTCTGCCATCTTTGAGGTCCTGTCTTTTGAAACCCAGATGAAGTTCTTTGTTCTCTCTGCTCATGTGCTTGGATCTGCTGCCCCAAACCAATCTAGTGAGTTCCACAGGGGGTTGGGGGCAAGAGCATCAGTGTGAATGGCTCTTGCATTGTATCTTTAGTGTTGGCTGGGAGGGGTGTATCTGGTTCCACTTCCTTCCCTTCCTGGGTGCATTTCCTGATGGTCCTCCTTATTTGGAATTAACTCAATCTATGCCTACAGTAGACATGACAATAATCCAGTCAAGATATGGTAACCCTCCCCTCCCACACTTCCAATAAACATAAATATAAAAAATACAGTATTCATAAATTAATACAGGGAACTTCAAATTTCTGAGGGTAAAGCTGTCTTGTAAACTGAGTTCTTTCTATCTGAGCCACTGAGTAAATTTCTGACTCCTTTGGGCCATGTCCTGAGCTGATGTAAATGGATGTCATTCAACTGAAGTCAATTATTTGCAATATCTGAGGATCTAGCTTATTGTCTTCAGCTGTGTTGCCAGTATTACCATTAAAACAACTCCAGTAAACTGCAGACCATCGTAGTCTGGTTGATTATTGCAACTCTAGAATTTATTTATTGTCACAGGTTCTTCCCTTAGGTGGCTACACAGATAGAAGAAATCAGTCAGTGGAGCACATCAAAAGGAAAGTCCCGGTTCAGTCTGCTGTCTCGGGAAGCCAGCACACCCAAGTTCCAGGACAAATATTCAGATCTTCTATACCCTTATCTTATTACACCCACACATATCTCTGGCCATATTTGACTCTTTCCATGACCGCACTTAAGTCTGGACCTGCCCCCTCTCCATGTGTGGTATGTGTGACGATAATTATACTTTTGATTGGCAATATAAGCTACTTGCGTCAATTAGTTGCTGAGAACAGCCATGACTAATTACCTTTACAAATCTGGGGCTAGATGACTAAATACTTTACAAATCTGGGCCCTAACTTGATTAGGCACTTTTTAAAAGCCTGCTAGGTTCCTTTCTGCATCTTTAGGCACCAAACCCATAGGCAATTTTGAAAACACTGCTCTACATCTACTAGTTTTGAAGCTGTAGCAAAACCACAAACTTCTTTATGTGTTTCAGGTCCTAGAGGGGGACAAACATCTTCAGCCAGTATGTTAAGCAAATATATGCAGAAGTTGGGGGGCATATGAATAGTTGGTGGGTGGAGCAATGGAGGATGGATAGTGCTGAATGTCAATATACACTATACCTAGGACTGAAGCCATCAGCTCTTAAGAAACTCCAACTAGTTCATATTGCTACAGTGCATCTCCTTAGCCACACAAAGCACCACAAGCACATCAAACCTGTCCTACACTCTTGGCACTGCTTACCCATAGAATAGTGAGTCGAGGCTGAGGTCTTGGTCCTTATCTTCAAGTCGCTCAGTGGCTAAAAGATGTCCTAAAGCTCCAGAATGAGGTCTGTGATTGACAACTGGAAGGAACGTGGGGGGCAACGGGTGCAAAGGGGTGGGGATATAGGAGGGAATAGGGTTATGGGGAGGCAGAGGGAATGAGTGGGGCTATATGGAGAAGGATATAAGGGCAGGGGGAGCTGAGAGGTGAGTGGGCATGAGGAATGATTATCTGGACCAGGGATCAGCAACCTTTGGCCCGCGGCCCACCAGGGTAAGCACCCAGGCGGGCCGGGCTGGTTTGTTTACCTGCCGCGTCCGAAGGTTCGGCCGATCACAGCTCCCACTAGCTGCGGTTCACCATCCCAGGCCAATGGAGGCTGCGGGAAGTGGCACGGGCCGAGGGATGTGCTGGCTGTGGCTTCCCGCAGCCCCCATTGGCCTGGAGCAGAGAACTGCGGCCAGTGGGAGCCGCGCTCGGCCGAACCTGCGGATGCGGCAGGTAAACAAACAGGCCGGACCCGCCTGGGTGCTTACTCTGGCGGGCCGCGCGCCAAAGGTTGTCGATCCCTGATCTGGACTATAGGGAGATATGTGGGTGTTGAGTCATATTATAGAAGAATATGGGGTTGTGAGTGGAGCTATAGGGGAAAAGGGGCATAAGATAGTCTGGTGTGGTGAGCCAGACTACAGGGACATGGGTGTGTGTGAGGAGGTTTATGAGGGGCACAGGAATACTTAGAAAGAGAGACACCCTTAAATAAACAGATATCTACCGGTCGAGGGTGCGTTACTATTCTACTCAGGTCAGATTACACGCTTAGTGCATTGGATTGACGTGAGTAAATACATAAGTATTTGGCTCAATAAAGACCGGTAGGTCCACATTACACACAAAGAGCAGTCACTTACAGAGTGTTAACCTTTATTTTAACATTAAGGACAAAAGTAGAGGCTGCATTAGAGATCCCAGTGTATGCATGTGTGTGTGTCTCCTTAACAGCCTTCACCCTACTCAGCACAAGAGGTTTGTAGCTGGGAATAAGGATTTATCTGCATGTGAAGCTAGAGTACGCAGATAGGGTGACCAGACAGCAAATGTGAAAAATCAGGACGGGGGTGGGGGGTAATAGGAACCTATATAAGAAAAAGATCCAAAAATCGGGACTGTCCCTATAAAATCGGGACATCTGGTCACCCTATACGCAGAGAACAAGTTAGCCGTACTGATGAAAGCTGCATTCCCCAGAGTTTGCAAGTATCTGGTGAAGCATTTCATACTTTGATAGGCATTAGGTGCAAATTCACCCTCTGGTGGTTCCAGTTGCATTTATACAATGAAATGGTCTCCAATTCTGCTGTAGGCCATTTAGAGCTTTA